ATAAAGAAGCCAAGGAAAGATGGAAAAATCTCCAAAAGGCATCAAATTACAGATTAGACATTCTTATAATATGTCAACAAAAGTTAGATTTTATTTCCATCATTTACACTTTCAAAATAACAGAAAACAAAAAAATGGCGTCTGCAAAAGTTTGGGCACCCTTCAGAGTTAATATCTTGTACTGCCCCCTTTGGCAAGTATCACAGCTTGTAAACGCTTTTTGTAGCCAGCCAAGAGTCTTTCAATTCTTGTTTGAGGTATCTTTGCCCATTCTTCCTTACAAAAGTCTTTCAGTCCTTTGAGATTTCTGGGCTGTCTGTCACGCACTGCTCTTTTAAAGTCTATCCATAGATTTTCAATTATGTTGAGGTCAGGAGATTGTGAAGGCCATGGCAAAAACTTCAGTTTACGCCTCTTGATGTAATCCCCCGTGGATTTCGAGGTGTGTTTAGGATCATTATCCATTTGTAGAAGCCATCCTCTCTTTAACTTCAGCTTTTTCACAGATGGGATCAAGTTACCATCCAAAATTTGCTGAAATTTTATTGAATCCATTTTTCCTTCTACTCATGAGATGTTCCCTGTGCCACTGGCTGCAACACAACCCCAAAGCATGGTTGATCCAACCCCATGATTAACAGTTGGACAGAGGTTCTTTTCAATAAATTCTGTGCCCCTTCTTCTCCAAACGTACCTTTGCTCATTCCGGCCAAAAAGTTCAATTTTAACCTCATCGGTCCACAGAACTTGTTTCCAGAATGCATCAGGCTTGTCTATATGTTCAGTTTCAAAGTTCAAACGATGATTTTTTGTGGTGAGGACGTAGAAGAGGTTTTCTTCTGATGACTCTTCCATTAAGACCATATTTGTACAAGTATCTCTTTATAGTGGAATAGTGTACCACAACTCCAGTGTCTGCCAGATCTTTCTGGAGGGATCGTGCCGTCAAACATGGGTTTTGAATTGTTTTTCTCACAATCCTGCGAGCTGTTCTGTCTGATATTTTTCTTGGTCTTCCAGATCTTGCTTTAACTTCCACTGTTCCTGATGACTGCCATTTCTTAATTACATTCCGAACACAGAATATTGACATCTGAAAACGCTTTGCTATCTTCTTATAGCCTTCTCCAGCTTTGAGAGCGTCAACTATTTTCAGTTTCAGTTTTCTAGACAACTGCTTAGAAGAACCCATGGTGCTGATTGTTGGGGCAAGATCAGATGAGTCTGGGCATTTAAAACCTTTGAGTTTGACATCATCTGGTCTTCCCAGACGATGATTAAGAACAATCCATGACACTGGCAGGTCTCAGCTTTGCAAAGGGGGCAGTGCATGCTATAAATTCTGCAGGGTGCCCAAACTTTTGCAGACGCCATTTTTTTTGTTTTCTGTTATTTTGAAAGTGTAAATGATGGAAATAAAATCTAACTTTTGTTGACATATTATAAGAATGTCTAATCTGTAATTTGATGCCTTTTGGAGATTTTTCCATCTTTCCTTGGCTTCTTTATGCACATTAATACAAATTTTTAGCTGGGGTGCCCAAACGTTCGATCCCCACTGTATGTATTTTTTTGTACATTCACAAAATGACACTGAATACTGGGGAGATCTGTTTATGATAAAGGGTCATGGTATGGGGATATATGATATTTGATTTGTTTTGTCTTATTGGAAGTACTTCACCAGTATTTGATATAGATTCATTAAAACAATGGAGTGATTGCAAAGTTGGGTGGTAACTGACTTAATTTGACTTATGGCTTCTTGATAAGTTATGACTCTCAACACACTGATTGATGGGAAGTGAACTAGTCTTTGTCAAGTAGCACCACATTCCCCACAGCCAAACAAGCCCCTATGTGCACTAAGAGGCTGGCTAAGTAAAAAAAAAAAAATAATAATTTTTTCCTATCCACGCAGAAATTGAATGCATTATATGAGGGTTGGCCTAATCTTGAAAGGATATTCAGGCCTCTTATCTTTTTGCTTAAATTTATCCTGGCAAAGTGTCGAAGAAATGGACTATTTCAGTAGTAGACCCTGCCATTTTGGTCCTCAACAACACTACAGTTTCTATTGAGGATGTTTCCTCTTTTAAGAATTCAGGGGGTGGGTGTTTTAAAGCCCTCTTAAAGGCTTCAATTGTACTTACAGGTTCAGCCCAGCAATTCAATCTGCTTGCTAGACTTTTGCCAGTTATGCAAAACAAATGAACAGAATATATGAATCTTTTTTTTTTTGGGGGGGGGGGGGGGGGACATCAAACAATTACAGCGATGCATTCAATCTTATTATTTTGTGTGGATGCTTTATAGAAAATGTAATTTGCTAAGTCTCTAGAATATTTCTGATCTCTGTGCACTTGTGCAGGATTTTATGGCTTAAAGCTTGGTCTGAAGCTGATGTAAGAGATGTCTTTTACCCATGCCTTTTGACCAGGAGCACCTGTACTACCATTCGAGCTCTCTCCTACACCCTGAGTATTCACAAAAGTGCTTGTCCCACTTCTTGTTCTTCTGTGGACCCAGGTCATTCATGTCACTGGGTACTTGGACAATCTTCTACTGAAGGACTTCTCTGCCACAACACTGTTGCCATTGCCAAATGACACTTCAGTTTCTTCAAACCTTCAACTGGCTAATCAACTTTCTAAAAGTCTGTTCTCCAGCTCTCACACCATCTGGTACCTGGTTCTAGTCTTGAACACAGTCCAAGCCAGAATCTTCCTTCCTCCACACAAGATTTCCTCCCAGAGGTTTTACTTGTGGACCCTCAGATCCAAGAGACCACCCTCCACTCCAGTCCACTTTGCTTGGTTTCACTCCAGGAGTCTTCAAGTCAACATTCTTATGTTATTGAACAAATCGATCTACTCTCTGCATTGTCCTATGCCGCTATGCAGTCAGACAAAGCTTTCTCTATCATGGTGGATCTCCAACCCTGGAGTTGGAAAAACCATTCCTCCTTCTGCTGTGAAAAAATGGTGATGACTCCTTAATTGTCCAGGGTACCTGGTCCCCTTAATTGTCCAGGGTACCTGGTCCCCAACAGACTCAAGACGCCCCATCAGCACTCTGGAAGAGCGAACCATTAGATTCTTACTATATGTTGGAACCTTCTTCTGCAAGGTCAGTCAGTGAGGATACAGTCAGACCGTGCCACAGAAATGGCCTACATAAACTATTGGGTGGGGAGGCCCCAGCAGTCAAGCTACTCTAAGAAAAACACATCTTATCCCTTCCTTGGGATCTAAACTTGGTTCTCTCTATTCAAGAGACCCCCTTTTTGAGCCAATTAGAGATATCCCTTTCGGAGACCCCAAATTTAAAAATGCCTTCCTTCTGACCATTATGTCAACTAGTAGCCCTTTCTCATAAGGAGCCTTACCTGTTATTGCACAAGGATAAAGCTTGAGACCAAGACCTTCCTTTCTGCCCAAAGTGGTCTTTCTTTTCTATCTCAATGACGATATTATCCTTCCTTCTCTGTGTCCTGCTCCTAAGCATAAACAAACCAAGGGCATTTGCTTACACTGTCTGGATCTTTTAGGGCATACCTGACCACCACTGCTTCTGTTTGCCAGTCCCGTTTTTTTGTTCTCATTTCTGGCTTTCAAAAGGGCCATCCCGTCTTTTACATCATAATTGCCACATGAATCAGACAACTTATTTCCAGAGCTTGTGCCTTCCCCTTTCCCTATCAGAGGTCATTCCTCCAGGTCTGTTGTTGTCTCTTGGACTTTCCAGTATCTGCATCCCAGATTTCAAGGCTGCCACCTGGTCCTCTGCTGAGCCAAAGCCACAGTTGATGCAAGCTTCAGCTGCTAGATGTTTTAAGCTGTTATCTGAGTGATCTGTTCAGGTTCTTACCCTTGTTTTTTGGTGCAGCTGTTGGCAGTTCTGTTTGCTATATTGTTGCCCACCCACCAGTTTATTGTTTGGAGATACCCCATAGTTTATGAATACAAATCCTGTATGGTACAATTAAGATAAAAAGAATTTTGATAAATATGTAAATTCCTTATCTTGGAGTGCAGTCCGGGACACAGGACCCTCTCCTCTGTCTCTGGTGGTCACTTCTTATTGCTTGCTAAAAATGTGTGGTTTTAGAGAGTTGAGGTAAGGGAGGTTATATGTACGTGCCCCTGGGAGTGGCTCTAGCAACGTTTTTGCCAGTGTCCAATCACCTAAAGGTAGCAGGCAAATAACCCATGGTCTTTCAGTACACGTTCTGGCTTCTGTACTGTACTCCAAGGAATCTACAGATAAGTAAAAAGTCCCTTTTTACCAAGGATGTTATGCTGTGTTCTGGCTTCAGAGAGTCCATGTACCAGGAATGTGGCTGTGCTGTGTTCTGGCTCCAAGTGTGTATGTACCAGGAATGTGGCTGTGCTGTGTTCTGGCTCCAAAGTGTGTATGTACCAGGAATGTGGCTGTGCTGTGTTCTGCCTCCAAAGTGTGTATGTACCAGGAATGTGGCTGTGCTGTGTTCTGGCTCCAAAGTGTGTATGTACCAGGAATGTGGCTGTGCTGTGTTCTGGCTCCAAAGTGTGTATGTACCAGGAATGTGGCTGTGCTGTGTTCTGGCTCCAAAGTGTGTATGTACCAGGAATGTGGCTGTGCTGTGTTCTGGCTCCAAAGTGTGTATGTACCAGGAATGTGGCTGTGCTGTGTTCTGGCTCCAAAGTGTGTATGTACCAGGAATGTGGCTGTGCTGTGGCTCCTGAATGTATATGTACCAGGCATGAGACTGAGTTGTGTTTTGGCTCTGGAGTATATATGGATGTACCAGGGATGTGGCTGTGGTTTGTTCTGGCTCCTGGGCATATGTATATGTACCAGGGGTAAGGAGGTGTTGTGTTCTTGCTCCAGAGTTTATATGTACCAAGGATGAGCTTGTGCAGTGTTCTGATGGGGTGAACAGAGGGAACAGAACTCTATTAATCTTCAGAAGTTTTCACGTTCTGTGTCCTCTCTTTATTCTTTAATGCGGCCGATAGAACGAGATTCTCTCACATCATCTTCAAAGGAACCTCATCTACGTGGATCACCAGGTGGGATTTGGAAGTTTTTCTATATATTTGCTGGAGTTAATATTACATTCTGTGACCCAGAACTGAACTGCAATGCTGCCTGAGCAGAATTCTCAATCCTCCTCCAAGATACAAATGAGTGTCTAGAAGGAAAGATTAGAATTACCATTTTTTTTTTTCTATAAATTTTCTTATAAATCCAGTGTGAGTTTCCTGTAACATTCCTCAGTTATGAGACAGGATACATCAGAAATGTAAACAAAGAAGACAGTGAACTATGAATTAAAGCTGAACTTGAAGCAAAAGAACTTTCACATATATTTGTATATACTTTGTATAAGTGTGTGTGTGTTTTCCTTCAGCCAGGTGGATGGAGGAGCCCCCCTCCCTGAATACACTGATCAGCAGCTGATTGAGAAAGTTTTTCCAACATGTCCCTTCAACAGAAGTCGATCAAACAATCAACTTTAACCCTAGGTTCACACCTAAGCGCTTTCCGCAGTGTTTTGCAGAAACGCACTACAGTCCATTTAACATGATTTCCTATGGTTCACGGGTTCACATCTCCGTGTTTTCACCCGGTGCTTTTTTTGGAAAGGGTCAGGGACTTTGTTTTTTGGTTCTATAGACTTCAATGGAAGCGCTGCAGGAAAGTATGTAGTGCATTTTTTTATGCGTTTCGCGTTTTAAATCTGCCTAGCAACAAAAAAAAAAAAAACATCAAAAAAACGCAGTGCAGAAACAGATCAAACGCAAACTGCATAGGTGTGAACATAACCTTACAGGGACAGCAACACACTGATCCAAATGTGTCAGGTCACTGCTGAACCACACTAATTTAAACCAATGTATGGCCAGCTTTATTCTGTGCAGAGAGTACAGCTGTGGCAGGGACTCAGCAGGCCACACCCTGTATAGGCTGCCTGTTGAAAAATACAGAAATCTGCAGATAAAAGACCAGTTACCCTGCACAAGGAGTGAAAGATCAGCAGTGATTGGATTTTATTAGTCCTGGTTCACACTAATGCGTTTTTTAATGCTTTTTGCAGAAAATCACTATCATCTATTTAACAAGGTTTCCTATGGGATATGTTCACATCTATCAGTTTTTCAGCTGCTGCATTTTTGGAAAGGGTAAGGGATTTTTTTTAAACACAAAAAGCAGTGTTTTTGTTACAACAGAGTTCAGTGAAGACGCTGCTGAAACACATGTAGTGCGTTTTTTTGCCACATTTTTCCTTTTTATATTGCCCAACAAAAAAAAAAAAACGGTATAAAAGGAAAGCAAAATGCAAAAATGGATCAAAAGCAAACTGCATTGGTGTGAAACAGGCCTTACAGGAAGCTCTTGTACAAGTTCCAAACTGGACTACTGCACAGATCTGGAAAAATACACAACGCTCACCAATATTCAAGTTAGAATATGCATACTTATAGAATTTAGACGATAATTGCTTATTCCAGAGTTCAGCTTTAACTTCATTAAAATTTACTTTTTGTTTTACATTCAAAAGTTCAAATGTTTTTATGTAGATGCGTGTTTTGCACATAATCATTTTAAGCTATAATCTTATCCAAGTTGTCCTACCTTTCTAATTTTCTATGCTTTTCAACCCTGCCTTTCTATCCTCCTTTTCTTGGTTTCAGTTCTCTAAATTGACACAGATCTGCTGTATGCAGATGGCACATCTGAGCTGAATTCTATAATAAAAATGAGCATCTGTATCTGAACAGAGAACTCTGTAGAATAAATTTTAGAAGAAAGATTCAAAGTAAAGCATTTTTTAAAGAAAAGACTGTGATCGATCATTCATATAACAGTGGGTTAAAGTTATTTGTTGAAAGTAAGACAATGCTGCGCATTCAATGGCTTCTCCCTGATCTGCTGAATTTTACCTCTATGAAGGTAGTAGGATGTGTGTTTGTATGTTCTGGGTGGAGTACACTGCAATGAGAGTGGGTTAGTGTAATCCTCTTTCTTGGCGAAAACACTCTGGGCACCTAAAATCTCCCAATGGTAGCTACTTCAACTGCTGCTGCTACTGCTATACCACTCTTATTCCTGGGGGTCTCTCTTTCTTTAGTGACTTTTTTTTTTCTAATGACCTGTATTTGTATATTAACTATTAGCACACACAGTAGGCAGCGGGAATTGCAGATCTGGGCAGTTGGCAGCACAGCCCAGGTTGGTCAAGGAAGTTTCATCACTGTTCTATATGTCCTCTCTTATATCTCACTGTGCATTAAACTGTGCTCCTTCATGTCTGACGTAGATGAAAGACAATGACCCGTTAATCAGCATGGTTCCACCATGATTGAGAACTCTGCGCTTAGACCACAACTGTACCAGCAAGTAAGCCTGTGGACCTTGTTGTCATGTGTACTTCCTTCCCCAGTAACATCATATGCTGTACCCGCCTCCCTAGTGAAATCATAGGCTGAACCCACCTCCTTTGTTACATCATATGCCAAACCCACTTCCTTGTTGAAATCATATGCTAAACCCACCTCCCTAGTAACATCATATGCCAAACCTGCCTCCCTGGTGACATTAAGCCCACATTTTTGGTGACATCGCTGACTTCACCCTCCCTTGTCAGAACGTATGCTAAATGCCACCCTTTGATGTCATATACTGACTCCGCCTCTAGCGACATTACATGCTGAACCTGCCTTCCTGGTAACATCATGTACTGGCTCCACTGCTTCAGTGCCATAACCTGTTTGAACCTGCCTCTGTTGAAATCTTATACCAACTCTCCCTTGTGATTACATATACTAAAAATTCTCCCCTTTTTAAAGTAAAACTATAGGCAAACTATAGAATAAGGGAGGTTATAACCCCTATCGGTTTATTTTTTTTTGCCATCTGTGTTCCTTTGGGGAGAGTTACCTTAATTTCTTGTCCCATAGCCAAAACAAGAAGTGAGAAAACCTGCAAATTAAGGGAATTCCTTTGGAACCCACAGATCAGCAGAGCTAGTGACCCCATTTGTAGATTTCCCACCTACCACTTTTCTGGGAACAACCCAAAATTTTGGGTTTCTTTTACTTTACTTTCACTTTTGATGTTAATTGTAAATGGGACATATAGAGAGGACAAATCTCCCTAACAGGCACAGACAGCAATAAAAACCTGACAGGTGTGCCAATCCACCTCCACTTTGTCCAAAACTAAAAAAAAAGTTTTGTCTTTAGTTATACTTTAATTCATCATATTACAACTGCATTCCATCCAGCAACATCCCAAATCCCCCTATTTTTTAACATTATGACTTCCTACATTGATTTTTTTTTTTCTCCTGATGATGACCTTCTAAACCAATTTCCCTCTCTGGAGTATCCATATGGGGACCCCTACCCTCAATAAGACCATTGGAAAACTCGCTGTCATCACATACCAGATCTCCCTCTCGTTTGTATTCTGACTTTTATGCTTTGTTGACTTCACCAGTTGACCTCTCCTCCTTGAGGACGTCTTGTGCCATTTCCCCTTTCCATTGACATCATGCACAGACATGGATTTCTGAAAAGGACTTTCCCCCCAACATTGACTCAGTTTGTTGGTTTCTTTGTATTCCTTGTTTTTGCTTACACCGCTCAGTAATTTCATAAACCAATTTGCCATTTCCAGTGATGTCATCTGCAAGCCTCGCTGTGTTTGGTTGTGTGGCGAGCAATCCATTATCACTCTGGCTCTCCTCGTTTGGAAAGCACGCTTCTGCTGCCAACCTGGCTGTTGTTGGTGTTGGAATGGCTTCTGTCTGTGTCATGCTATCACATGGTACTGTACACTGAGCTCACACCTAGTTTTTCATCTGTAGTACCAGTATGTGACCGGCCACAGGAGGTATTGTGGAGGGATGGCAGCTCCAGGCCTTCCAGCACTGTATTCGCTGCGGCCTCACAGTCTATGGTGCAGTCAGGGTGATAAATGCAGTCCAGAATATGTACTATAACAGCTCCCTGAATATTCATAAAGCCAAATTCTGTAGGATTCAGGAGTCCCATCAGCCCAGTGAAGAAACTAACAAGTCCTAGCTAGGCAAGTCTTCACAGACAAGAGAAAAGATCAAGTGGGTTCAGATTTGTCAGGAGGATTGATGCTGGGCGTCTGGGGCTTTTCCAGTCCTCTGAGTTCTGAGTGTATCCAATGCCTTTCTCACTGTTTAGTAATTCTTCTTCCTCAAAAGAGACAATAGCATAGCTTCCAGCCTTGGGGGGAACCAGGTGAAAGGTGCCATGACTAAATGCAGGAAGGGGTGTCACCAGCTATGGAAATAGTTATAAAGGATGGGAAGTTATCTCTTTAGACAGACAAAATTCTGATGAGCATTTACAAAACTTACGCAGTCAAATTCACCCTCATCTGCACCATTCTCTGATTTAATTGTGACAGTTGAATCATGCAGATTAGTATTTGTCACAATTAGATTTGCATAATATTCCAAATGTATACAAGCTAGAGTCCAAAAAAAATCTAGATCTAAAGATTCTGGAGGTGTCTGATTTTGTAACATAGTAAAAAAAAAGTGCAGATACCCAGGGCAAAAAAGTATCTAGAATATCCTGCCATTCCTGTTTTTGACCCAGTGTACACCCAGAACCTAACTGGTCACATTCAGAAGATCTGCCACGGTACTGGTAATCCTGACTGCCTGTCAAAGCAATGTATGTCGGCTTTGCATGGGAAGTCAGCACTGCGTGTATTGCCCACACCTTCACTTCTTCACCTGTGTCCATCCCCTGTACATTGCATGGGAAGCTGCAATCTCTGTGTGTGTATCTATAACATTTGCTCTGCTGTTCTCTTCCCAACCCAGATAATTTGCTGTAATATTGGAGATAATTGTGCCATATATTCTGCTTTGTAAATGGGGTCTCTGTAGCACATATTAACAAAATTTATCATTTTACTTGTACTTGTCTTATGAGTTTGCATTTGTGTTGACAGAACTGGGGCACATTCTCCAGAATCCCATGATGCACCAGTAATCCTGTAATAGCTAGCGTTATAGGTTGCGAGCGTCTCACTTGATGTATATATTTGTCCATTTTGTGTGTTGCAATAATAGCTCACTGCTTGTGTGGAGTTAAACGGTCTCCTGCTGTGTCTAGTGACCGTCTTGTGGATTATAAAATAACTAATGAGTGGGGCATGACAGTAATTATGACTGTGGTGGTAGTTTTATTCCCGGTGAAATGAATGTTTACCTAAATGGTGTTTTATTGTATTAGATCCATGTATGGTGTATTTGTCTCCTGGAAGGTTGGCTGAACACAGCTGGGGGTGATTTTGAGGAGTTGCTCTTTCAGCATATCTCTTTCTTAATTTCACCCACATATTCTACAACTTGTGGAAGTTTTAGGAATTTTCCATATTATTAAAAAAAAAAAAATTTGACAGTTTGAAGTAGAAAATAAAAGGAATACAAACATTGATTCACAAAAAGGTAATTTTCCCTGTTTTCTTCATTAAACTTTCTTGATCTGTAGATTATTGATTTAGAATGGGATAAATCTGAATTCCAGGCAGCAACTAAATACCCAGATGGAATACATATAGTACCTGTTTTAAGAGAGAAGAGCAATGATGACCATTATAAATTGGCCTCAGCAGGTTCCTTAACTTTGAAAAGTTTCTGGATGTTTCACCTTGGAGTAAAGTTTCCCAATTCATTGTGTTTGTGGCAACATTATAGTGCGCTCGCTCAAGGGCTACCTTGTCTCCATTAAGTCCTTTATGTCTGGTGGTGGGTGTGGGATATTATGGATTTGGTGGAATCTGTACATTTTTCAGGCATACAAAGGCCAGAATGATATCCCATCTCCGCTTTGCTCTCCATCCTGCTGATTTGTTTGTGTATTGGTGGTACAAGTTGTTGTTGCATTGCCAAGGAGACCTTCCAGAAAATGTTTTGCTGTTTGGGATATAGGGATGCAGCTACACAGGACATTTTTATCACTTGGTAGCATGAAATTAACCCTGTGATGGCAAAAACATTACAAAACACATCCAGCTATAGATGTTTATTTAGCAAATAAAGAGAAGTTCATTTCATGCAACAAAGGATCCAGATTTTCTGTGTAGCTTGGCTCTGAAATTTCTCCAAGTCTCACATTTTGTCATGTGCTTTCAGATGACTCAGGACGAGTGCCGGCCTTCAGCTTATAAACACCGCTCCGAGGAGGCCGATGTGGATGTAAGTACTGACGTTTTTCTTATGCCCATACTGCAATTAGACCTTGTCACACTAGTGATCGGTCACTATGCAGAATAAAGCCCAAAGCCTAATTTTCCTTTGATTTTATTCTTCTTGCTTATACAATAGCTACTTGTGTAGTTGACTAATATATCCACATCTGTACGCACCAACTACACTCTTGATTTATTTATTTATTTTTGTTTTGTTTTCTTCCCAGAATTTACTTATCTTGTTACAAAAGGATATTGTATATTAAAAATTGAATCATTATCCTACACAACTTAACACACATCACATCCAGATTTTGACAGTTCTTTTTCCTGAGGTAGTTTATTATTGCTTTTCCCATTCCAAACATGGCCATGCGAAATGTTGATATTATGTCAGTGTTTTCTAGCAGTTCTACTTCCTAAATCTACTTCTAAAAAGTAAATCTTAATAGTACATTACAGGCAGAGCATTAGTAGACCCTTGGTTATAGGCTCATACCTTCAAGTGATTGGACACTGGAAAGCTGTTGTGGACACGTCCACTGGATGCCTCCCCTATAATCTACCCCACTCCATGAGTCCTCAGTTTTGTGCTAGTGTCCTAAGGTGATAGATGGCTTCTTCTCCATGAATAAATCATTGATAGCGTAAAGTTGAACTATAGGCAAACATTTTTTTTTTCATTTTGGATAGTGTAAGGGAGGGATATAACCCCTATCATTTAATTTTTTTTTTGCCATCTGTGGGATTTATCTTCACTTCCTGTCCCATAGCCAAAACAGGAAGTGAGAGAAAATTCCCAAAAAATTAAAGGAATTACTTGGGGACCCCCGTGTCACCAGAACTAATGTCCCCATTGGAAAATTTACCCTCCATTACTTTTCTGGGCACATCCCAAAATTTGGGATTTTCTTTTCCTTTCACTTTCAATGACAATGGTAAACAGGACAAGTAAAGAGGGTGAATCTCCTCGACCGGGACACAGACAGCAATAAAAACCTAATAGGTGTTCTAATCTATCTCTGCTCTGTCCAAAGCTTAAAAAAAAAAAAAGTTTTGCCTTTTAGTTATACTTTTAACTTCTTTTTTTTATTTTTCTTTATTATTTTTTCTATGAATTCTTCAACCTGCTCTGTACTGATTTCTAATGCCTTCAATAGAAGCAGTGCATCTGGATTGGCACAACCTCTGTAAACCTTCAAAGCCGGACCGGTCCCAATGCTGTGGGGGATGGCCTGTAATGTTGCTTTGGCCACTAGATTCAGCATGGGCACTCATCTTGGCACTTAATGAAATTCATGTGGTAGTCATCCTCCAGGCCATGCGCCATGCATATGGAACCCCTAAGTCCCCTAAAGAACCCTTTGGTGGTATCTCCTCTGGATGAAGCCTAGACTTTTTATACTGTCCAGCATCATGAACAGGTAGGATAGGGTCACCCCATTTCCTTTTGACTTTTACTGTTACGGACTGGAACAATATTTGAATTGTATTCACTACAGTGTAAACTTTTTAAATGTGACTCTAAAACTTGACCATTTAGAGTTTCATTTCAGGTGGATAACCAAGTGAGACATCACACTACAAGTCACACATTTTACAGCCACTTCCCCCCTAGAGCCCTTATAGGGCTCTACACTATATACGGTCTTCACCTGGGTTGCTGCGTTTTCCTTCTGGACAAGCTTACCCTTTACTTTGCACTGTACTCCTTGAGTATGCCACAGGGGAATACCCTCACACATAGCTAAGGCAAAGACCTAGCAAAAGGGAGACATTACAAAACTGCAGGCAAACATTTGTTCTGCCAAAGGCCCACACAACACTCAGTCTCAGAGTGACTACGTGCCCCTTGTACTGGAACAGGAGCCGACTCTAACACCGATCTCTGCATCGGATCCTAACTCTTTCTCAGGCATGCAATGATCAGCCTATTCGACAAAAGCAGAATTTTCTTCACCCATGTTACAAGTTCTTGGACAAATAACTGCTTTATTACAGCCATCTTTGCCCAGGGCTCAAAAACGCCACACCTCTTCTCCTACTCTTGTTTCTCAGGAACACCTTCAACTTCAAAACCTAAGTTCAGCCCTTCCTTTTGGCGTAAGGTTTGGGCTACAAAAGCCATCTTCCCAAAGAAGGGATATCCTCACTTTTAAGGATTGGGGGGGACGTCTGTTACAGTTTGCCTTTCTCGAGGTCATAGATGTCCCAGACCTGTAGGTTCAATCTGTTGTTTCAAAGGAGTGAAAAATAGAGTTCAAAACTCTACCCTCTCACCACGTTCGTCTCTTAAATCAGCCAGGAACTGCTCAGAGACAGTCAGATTTGCATAATGCTCCATATCTTGTCCCAGGCAGCAGCTGTGCCCCTACCTCCACAAGACAGGTTCAATCATTTTATTCAAACCTGTTCACGTTAACAAAGCTCAACTGGTTCATGTCTGGACTTAGAAAATCTCAATAAATACGTTCAAATTCCAAAGTTCACATTGAATCTGCAAAGTCAGTAATTGCCTTTCTGAGGCTGGGGGAATATATGATATCCCTAGACATCCAAGATGTCTCTGTGCATGTTCCCCATCAGCTCTTTCTGCACTTCACAGTGCAAGACAATTCTAGTTTATCACACTGACCTTTGGTCTATCCTTTGCTCCCAGAGTATTTACAAAGTTCTTATCACCTCTTTTTGCCCTTTCTCAGAACTCAGGCCATCCAGGTCACAAGCTATCTAGATGATCTTCTCCTGAAGGACTTGTCTCCTTTCCATCTCTCAGGAAACATCCAAAGAACTTTTCAGATGCTCCAGGCTTTTGGATGGGTGATCAATTTAGAAGCCTTCTCTTTGCTTGGAATACTTGGATCTGGTCCTGGACACATCCTGAGCAAAGGTTTTCCTTCCCGAAAGAAAATTCTTTCTCTGAGTCCACTCTAGAGATTTGGGATTAAAGAGACATCCCACAATGAAATAATAGCCTCCTTTGAGGCTGTACTATTTTTTTACCGAATTTCATTCAAGACCTCTCCAACACAACATCTGTCGACCTGGTGCAAGCATACTCCTCTCTACCCATGCTCCTGTCCAGCCAAGCAAAGAACTCCCTGTCTTGGTGGGTTTAAAACCCAGCCTTAATAGGGAATAAGGCCATATAGAATGTAAAAGCAATCATTTCTCTTTCTCTCTGTGTGCATTCCTGCACTCATTGAGAAATACAGAGTGAGCTGTGATTGGTCAGAGCTTGTCACATGGTACAAGGCTGTTGTGAATAGCCTTGTACCATGTGACCTCTGTGATCATTCACAGATTTCACACATAGTAAGCAATGATGTCACAAGTGACATCTTGCTTACTACTTTGCATGTGATCACTGATTGGCCAATCAGTGATCACATGATCGGGACCTCGTACAGAGGTCCCGTCCGACGATCGGTGTTTCACCATGTCCGGAGGACACAGCGGGCACCGGATTGCGGTGCTGCGCGCTCCCAGGGAGCGCGCACAAGCAGGGTGCGGGGAGGCCGTTCATAAACGGCCACCCGACCCTGTACTGCCACCGTCCAGCCGTTTATATGCAACGGCCGGTGGGGAAGTGGTTAACAAGGATCGGGAGATGAAGCCTGAAAGCAGAACTTCCCCTTTTTGGGTAGAGTTCTGCTTTAAAACCTAACTTCAAATATGACAGAATCTCTCCCCTGTCCTGCCCTGACCTGGCCACTTCTGTCTACAACAGTTTGCTTTCATCCACACTAGACTCCCTTTCTCCTCTAACTGCATCTCCCATCTTTGGTCAGATCCTGACCATTACAACCATGGCAGACTAATGACACCAGAAATTTTAAGAGACATAGTCATGCACTGGAGCTACTGTGGTGTAAAACCAAATCCCAGCAAGCATTCACCTTATATAAATCTGCTTTCTTAAAATACAATTCCTCCCTCCATACTGCCAAACAAGCCTACTTCGTCACTCTTATTAATACCTTGTCATCCAGTCCTCATCGTCTCTTCTCTACTTTTAACTCTCTACTTTCTCCACCTCCACCCAGTAACTCACTGCTTACTAGATTGCCAATAATTTCAAAGACAAGATTGATGCAATTCGTAGGGGTATCTCCACTACACAGACATCTATCCCACTTAGCATACCTTATATTAAACCTCCCTGAACACTTTACTCTTTTAACCTTGCTACTAATGAAGAGGTCAATAAAGTTTTCTCAGAAGCCCGTCTCACCTCCTGCCCCCTGGATCCTGTCCCCTTCACAACTACTACAGTCACCCTCTTCTTTTATCCTATGCTCCCTCACTCACATTTTCAATCTCTCCCTCTCTACTGGCGCCTTCCCCTTCCCCTCTAAAGCATGCACAGATCACTCCCATACTTAAAAAGCCCTCGCTGGACCCCACCAATTTGAACAACTTATGACCCATCTCCTTTCTCCTGTTTACCTCTTAACTCTTAGAACGTTTAGTCTACAATCGCCTGAGCTCCTACCTCATTGATAACAACCTTCTTGAACCTTTACAGTCTGGCTTTCGCTCACTACACACTACTGAAACTGCCCTGCTAAAACGCACTAATGATTTACTATCTGCTAAAACCAATGGCCACTACTCCGTACTGTACTACTTGATCTCTCTGCGGCTTTTGATACTGTTGACCATCCCTTTCTCCTCAAAAAACTCCACTCTCTTGGCCTCAAAGAATCTGCTTTCTCTTGGTTCTCCTCCTACCTATCACAACGCTCCTTCAGCATTACCTATAACTCACTCTCCTCCTCTCCACTTGCTCATTCTGTAGGGGTCCCTCAAGGTTCTGTCCTCGGACCCCTTCTCTTCTACTACTACACCTCCTCCCTTGGTCACTTGATGAACATCCATGGCTTTAAGTACCATCTCTTTGCTGATGACACACAAATCTATCTTTCTGCTCCTCACCTCACCCCTTCAGTCTCCTGTCGCATTACTAACCTATTAAGTGACATACAGTGGATATAAAAAGTCTACACACCCATTAAAATGATAGGTTTCTGTGATGTAAAAAAAAGAGACAAAGATAAATAATTTAAGAACTTTTTCCACCTTTAATGTAGCTTATAAACTGTACAACTCAGTTGAACAACGAACTGAAATATTTTAGGTGGAGGGAAGTAAAAATAAACAACTAAAATAATATGGTTGCATAAGTGTGCACACCCTTAAAGTAATACTTTATTGAAGCACCTTTTGATTCTATTACAGCACTCAGTCTTTTTGGTATTAGTCTATCAGCATGGCACATCTTGACTTGGCAATATTTGCCCACTTTTTCTTGCAAAAACACTCCAAATCTGTCAGATTGCGAGGGCATTTCCTGTGCACAGATCACCCCACAGATTTTCAATCGGATTCAGGTCTGGGCCATTCCAAAACTTTAATCTTCTTCTGGTGAAGCCATTCCTTTGTTGACTTGGATGTATGCTTTGGGTCGTAGTCATGCTGAAAGATTAAGGTTCTCTTCATGTCCAGCTTTCTAGCAGAAGCCTGAAGGTTTTGTGCCAATATTGACTGGTATTTGGAACGGTTCATAAATCCCTCTACCTTGACTAAGGCCCCAGTTCCAGCTGAAGAAAAACCGCCCCAAAGCATAATGCTGCCACCACCATGCTTCACTGTGGGTATGGTGTTCTTTTGGTGATGTGCAGTGTTGTTTTTGTGCCAAACATATCTTTTGTAATTATGGCCAAAAAGTTCAACCTTGGTATCATAGGACCATAATACATTTTCCCACATGCTTTTGGGAGACTTCAGATGTATTTTTTGCAAAATTTAGCCGGGCTTGGATGTTTTTCTTCTTAAGAAAAAGCTTCTGTCTTGCCACTACCCCATAGGCCAGACATATGAAGAATACAGAAGATTGTTGTCACTTGTACCACACAGCCAGTACGTGCCAGATATTCCTGCAGCTCTTTTAATGTTGCTGTAAGCCACTTGACAGCCTCCCAGACCAGTTTTCTTCTCATCTTTTCATCAATTTTGGAGGGACGTCCAATTCTTGGTAATGTCACTGTTGCGCCAATTTTCTCCACTTGATGATTACGGTTTTCCCTGTGTTTCATCTAATGCCTTGGAAATTCTTTTGTACCCTTCTCCTGATGGATACCTTTTAACAATGAGATCCCTTTGATGCGTTGGAAGCTCTCTGCGGACCATCTCTGCGGAAGCTGTCTGCAGACCATGGCTTTTGCTGTAGGATGCGACTAAGAAAATGTCAGGAAAGACCTACTAGAACATCTGAACTTTATTTGGGGTTAATCGGTGGCACTTTAAATGATGGCAGGTGTGTGTACTAACTCCTATTTAACATGATTTTGAATATGATTGCTTTATTCTGAACACAGCTACATTCCCAATTACAAGAGGGTGTGCACACTTATGCAACCACATTATTTTAGTTTATGTCTACTCCCCCCCCCCCCCCCCCCCCCCCCCCCCCCCCCCCCCCCCCCCCCCCCCCCCACCCCCCCCCCCCCCTATTTGTTTTTCAATTGAGTTGTACAGTTTATAGGTCAGATTAGAGGTGGAAAAAGTTCTGAAATTATTTATCTTTGTCTCATTTTTTTACATCACAGAAACCTGACATTTTAACAGGGGTGTGTATATTTTTATAGCCACTGTATCAGAATGGATGTCACTCCACTTCCTCAAACTAAATCTTTCTAACATGGAGCTCATACTATTCCCTCCAGCCCATGCCTCCTCCCCTGACTTCTCCATTAAGATCAATAATACAACCATCAGTCCCTCCCCTCATGCCAGGGTACTAGGTGTAATCCTGGTCCCATCTGTCCTTTCAGCCCCAAATCCAATCACTGTCCAAATCTTGTAGACGTCACCTCCGCAACATCTCCAAGATAAGCCTGTTTTTAACCTCTGAAACCACTAAGCAACTTATTCACTCTCTTGTTATCTCTTGCCTTGACTATTGTAACTCCCTCCTCATTTGCCTACCTAATCGCAGGCTATCCCCTCTTCAGTCTATCATGAATGCTGCTGCCAGACTCATCCACTTTACCAACCGTTCCATATCTGCCATCCCTCTCTGCCAATCCCTCCACTGGCTTCCCATTGCCCAACGAAAATGCAAAACATTAACAATAACATATAAAGCCATTTATAACTGCCCCTTGTCTCCTCCTCCCATGCTTGTCTCCAGGACTTCTCCAGAGCCTCCTCCATCCTCTGGAACTCTCTACCCCAATCTATCCGACTATCGCCTACTCTGCCCACTTTTTGGCGATATCTAAAAAACTGTCTCTTCAGGGAAGTCTATCCTGCCTTCAGCTGATAACCGAATCTTCTATTTCTCCTATCAGTTCATCCCCCACAGTTATTACCTTTTGTACCTCCAGCCCTTCCCTCTTAGATTGTAAGCTCCAAGGAGCAGGGCCCTCCTAACCCTTTTGTATTGAATTGTATCGTTGCTGTATTGTCTCCCTTTTATATTGTAAAGCGCTGAGCAAAACTGTTGGCGCTATATAAATCCTGTATTATAATAATAATATGGTGTACTTGCTATGCCATGTGTCAACTGTCTTTCTTTTAACCCAGTATCATCAGCAAGTCTCTCCTCCTGTGCTTCTATGTGCCCATTTTACCAGATTGATGGGAGTTGCCTGGGCATTTTGGCACCAGGACTCTGTAGCCCAGCTGTTTAAGACCGCCACCTGGTCCTTGTTGTTGTGCCTGTTTTCACAGTTCTGTTTGCCTAGTTTTGCCCAACCTGCTCATGCATTCCTTGGGGACGTTTGTGTGGATTATGAATACTTTTGTGTCCTGTACTGTACAATAAAGATGAGAGGAATTGTAAACTTGCCTGTAAATTCCATTTTCTGGAGTACAGTACAAGACACTTGCCATCTTCCCTTCTATCCTGACTTACTCTGCGCTGCTTGCTACACAACTGAGGACTCGCAGAGTGGGGTAAGATTACAGGGAAAGCTTGTATCCAATCACCTGAAGTTTTTTTCCTCTAACCCAGGGTCTATGACTACTTTGCATGTGTCTTGTACTGTGCTTATGATATGGAATTTACATGCAAGTCCAATTGTTTTTCTTTTTACATATAATTCCTACAAAATATACCTGTCTATGTAAGATTTGGGCTTCCTCTGAACATGAAGAAATTGATAGTGTTGCCAAGTGTACTTAGTCTTATTGTCCGTTGTGAGTCCCCAACCTTTCTGCTGTATTCATAGTTGTGTCCCCCCTTCAGGCCAAGCTGAGCCGACTATGTGAGCAGGACAAAGTGGTCCAGGCTCTGGAACAGAAACTGCAGCAGTTACATAAAGAGAAGGTAGGTTCACCATCTACTGGTCACAACCAGTGTGTCCAGTGTGCTGGTATCAGGCAGCGATAATGTTTCTTATGTTCTCCTAGTATACCCTGGAACAAGCTCTGCTGTCCGCCAGCCAGGAGATAGAGATGAACGCCGATAATCCAACAGCTGTTCAGAATGTGGTGATACAGAGAGACGAGCTTCAGAATGGGCTGCTCAGCACATGTCGAGAAGTGTCTCGGGCCACCACGGTAAGGAGCGCTCACCATTGTCACCACGTTTTTTTATGTCTTGCAAAATCAACTATATGTTTTTGTATCTCTTTCACAGCTCTGGGCTCAGTCTGTGGTACAGGCTGGGATCCATTCACATGTCTCTGTTTCACTATGCCTAAGATGTTAACATCTGTTTTTCATTGCTCAGTAATTGTTTTTTGTTATTTGCTGCATTTTGCCCAGATTTTAAAACAAGTTCTAATAACTGAAATTCCCGAAAAAACTCTTCCAATGCAGATCAGAACCATCTTAAAAAAGAAGCATCTGCATTTGTCACTTCAATCTCAGATCTAGAAAAAAAGGGGTTCTATGTTTATTTTAATAAAATGGGTGGACCAATGCAAATTTGTTTTTGACTCTGGAGCCTTTTTATCTAGAATGGCTGTCAGTCCGCATGCCACTAATCCCAGAGGATGCCATTTCTGGGGAAAAGTGTTGGGCGGAGTTTCTGTTGGCACCGGAGCACCGACTGACACCGTAACCAGACTTTTTCACATTGTATACTGCTTTTATCCATAAACCTGAATTCATGACGAGCCTCATGAGATGCTAGAGCTGTTCTTTGGCGGTGCCATACATTCCTGTGATGAATGCATTTAACGTTCTGAGGGTCTGACAGTGAAAGTGCCAGCTTGGAGTTTGGATGCACATGCCTGTTTGATCTCTATAATTTAAGATCATTTAAGTCCGGTAAGAGGCCTGCCTTTTTTGGGGCACATGAGCACTTTATATGAAGTTTTTCCAGCACGGAGCACTTTTTTCACAATTGATTTTGAGACTTTTTATTTATTTATGTATTTATATTTGTTTATGTTTGTACTGATGTTTGTTATGCATCTTGAGATTTGATTTTCATGCATGATCTAATTATTTGACAGGGGCACACATTATTTAAAGGCATAGCGCACCATTTTGTTCACATTGTTTTTTATGTTTAGAACAACTGGGATTATGTGTAGTGTTTGATATCTATGTATGAAAAGGGCAGTTTCAGGTCAGTTAGAGCCAGACTTTAAATGTGTATTGCTTCTAAAAGGTTTTATTATGGCCAGTTAAATGGTTTTACTATGGCCAGTTACAACTAGGCAAAGGCAATGGCAATTTTAGAACAAGGCTTAATTAGGACATAGCAAATTTTACAACAGGGTTTAAGTAAAAGTCTGAGGATTCACAGACCCTTGCTAAGTACTATTTTTGCATTCAAAGCTAATTTGCTTGATTCAATCTAGTCTCTCTTGAGCTGGTTATTTTATTGAGGGATGATATGAAGTGAGTCAGCTCAATCTGATTGTTTTGTTGCTGGCTTGTGTTTTTTGGAGACATGAGGGTGACACTGTATATAACACAGCTTCCCCTTTCTCTCCACTTAGCTTGAAGTTGTCAGACATCATTACTATTACACCCTTATTTTCTGAGTTGTGATGGACATGAGAAATTCAGATACATTCTGCTTTAAGAGCAGGTTCACAATGGAAAATACCCGTTTGAATGTACTTTTTCCTACACAGTGCCTCATGTTCCAGTTTGGACAGCCCATTCATTTGAATGGGCTGCCAAATGTATGAGAGTGTGCAAAAAGTAGTGCAAGCACTACTTTTGCAAATCATGCCACACCAAACAACATGGTACTGTGGTCACTTGTGTGTCTCTCAAGGCAACGCATTTGTGTGCAGTGTGGGGAATGTGCCTTTCCCACACCCCTTGTTCTAGTGTGAACCAGCCCTAAGAAGATCTGACTCCACTTCCTATCCATTCGTTGGTGAACTGTGCTTCCCCTCAGTCTCTCATCAACACCTCCTTGCCTATACTACCATCACTTCTCTGCTGCTACTATCTGCAACTCTCTGGCTATACAACTATCTCCTCTCTGCTGATACAGCCATCACTTTTCTGCCTATACTGCTGTCACTTCTTGTCTATAAATTCATGTGAAACACTTAATTCACTTAAAAACATGTTAAAGCTGCATATGAGTAGAAATATAAAATTGTGAATGAAAAGCATACTAATATAATATACATACTATAATACTGCTACCATATTAATATATTATACATACTACATTATAGTTACATAGTCTGGCTGAAAAAAGAAAAAATTCCATCCAGTTCAACCATAGATACTAATACCATATTAAAATACATACTACATTGCTACATCCATACTACAACTAACATACTATACATGGAATACTACTGCCGTGCTAATATACTGTACATACTACAAAGCTACTGGAATACTAAGAAACTTTCTTAATCAGTTAGAACAGGACAGGACACAGACTCCCTTAAGTCTTTACCATGGGTTATATGCTACCCCCTTCAGGTGAGGACACTGGTAAACAAAGTTGTTAGGACAGCCCCTATAACCCCTTCTGCACAAAGCAGTTTTTTGCTGGTGTCCTAGGCAATGGACAACTTCTCCCTGCTGGGAGAAGATTTCTGGCTTATTCTAATTATTAAGGGATGATTGAAGATTGTGCCTGGTTCTTCACATGGAGAAGTCCTTTCACCATCTGGCTGAATCAGCGCCGCTGAGACAATAGGATTAATAAATACCAACCATGTGGTGCACTATCCCTTAAATATCTCATTACAAAATCCCTAAGTGATTGATATGTCTATACATAGATACTAAAAGGTCCATAATAGTGTGTATAGTCAAATTTCACAAATTCGGTGCTGTGCAAACAAAAAACAAATGTACTGTCCCTCCCTTGAGTGTAAAACTCGCTCGCCTTGTGATTAGACCCACAAATCAGTATAGGTCAAGTCTGCTGTGTTAATCAGTGGTATTGTTTTAGACCAATGCTTCCATCCGGTCTCTCTTTGATGACTTTAAAGATGTGGGAAAAAAACGTTTTTCATAGTGCAACACTGTATGATTACTATAATGTGAATAACCTCAATAAGTGCACTCACATAAAGTGTGAAAAGTGTGCTCGTTCAACCAAAATATCCTCTCTTATAGGTGGTGGTGATTCTCAAACAACACCTTCAAAACGTGCTCGGTACCCCATCAACACTAGGTGCAATGCACACTCACCTTTTCATTAGACCCATATAATCATAGGTCACAAACACTTGATGTTCATCCAACTCGGTATATTAGATTCCACCTCTTAGCTGTTGCTTTACTCCTCCTGTCCCTTTAAGGAACCTGTATTTTGCTGTATCCACCCATATGAGTATAGGCTCAAAGGGAGAAAGAATACTTCATAGTGCAACCTTGTATAGACATTAAATAATTTATTGAAGTCAAAATATCACACTCAGATTAAAAACAGAAGGCTGATTTCCTTTTTCAAAACGGATCCTGCAATTGCACTTCCGGTTTCCGCGGTACCGGAAGTGGCGTCACTAGGCTCCTCCCGACTTACTGCGTCCCTGGTCACGTGACTTCCTCAGGATGAGGAGACATGTGACATATCTTCCTTATAAAGGCCTCAGATGTTTGTCATTGATAGCCATAGTGACCACACTACTCTTAGGGCATGGGCGGCCGTTCCACAGCCATCACCACATGCCCCTCCATATCAGCACAAATATATGGCAGATATAACCTAACATCTAGCAAGGGGGAAATCTACATTACTGAATAGCCTGGCTAGTAGGTCTTGACTCAAAATTTTAAGCCCAGATATATATCATGGGAGTTCATGAAGGTTTTCATGTGGGAATCATATCGCCTGGTGTTGTTGGTAGAATCCATTTGGCTGTCCAGTACTATATTGAAGTATCTACACATAAGTAGGTATCCCTTTTGGATATGTTTTGCTTTCCGGAGAGTGTTATTGAGAAAAGCAATCTGTCGCTTGTTGGGTGCGTAGATGTTCAGTAGAGTATAAAGCACATTGTTGATGATGCATACCAGGATGATGAAGCATCCATTCGGATCTATGACACTCTGGTGTAATTGAAAAGAGACGTTGTCTTTTATGGCTACCATGACTCCTCTTTTCTTTTCGTAAAGCTCGCTTGGAAGATGTGAGGGAAGTGCCTATTGTGGCATGATGGGATGACGTTGACATGGCGTTTGAGAAAAGTGTGTCTCTTAAACACATATTAGATCACAATTGTGTGATTTTTCCATAGGTAATTATGTTTGGCCGGGTGGTTCAAACCTTTGGCATTGAATGAACGAATCGAAAAAAGGGCTTATTCATGTGAGGAATGGAAGAGGGGGGGTCTTAGTTCCAAAGCACTCATGGCTAGATGGGTCGAGTTGGAGACGTAGCTGGTCTGGACATTGGCCCTGTGTGGCGTAGTCCTGGACTGGGATCGGAAGCTAGTGTTCTGAGGCAGATCAGCAGCTTCAAAACTAGGAAAAAAAGGGGAACCGTTTAAATATGCATACAACTCGTAACGAGGTTGACTGGAGTAAAGAATAGGAGGATGACAACTATGCAGCGAAACAACAGAAATGGAGCTGCACGAAAACTGCTGGAGAGTAGTATTCTTGCTTCTGAAAAGGATCTCAAGCCTCTGACTCATATAGGTCGTTGTTTGAAGTTTCCAGGTTCTGGGCGCCATGTGCGTGACGTTCTTGGTAGTAGTTGATGCGCTGGTTTCTCGTGGTGGGTCAGAGATGATACCCCAAGAGTGCAGACGTTTCACACCACCAGCGAGCGTAGAGATGGCGTGAGAGTTGCTGTTGCAAGTGACAAGCAGGGTTGCTAGGTAGGCCATTTATTTGGGGTTTTATGGTTCTGTAGAGCCTTTGTGACTGAATTGAGCTGCCTTCTTAGTTGAAGGGTGTATTTGGACATGTTGACGAATAGTTGTACTGTTTCAAATGGTGATGGGAGTGATTTCAATAATCTGACTTTAGTAAAGAGTTGCTCCTTTGTCTGGAAGAAGTGTATTTTTATAAGCACATCTCTAGGCACCGAATCCGCCAAGTTTTGCAGTTTAGGGATACGATGAATACGGTCTACTGTGAGCTCGACAGAAGCATCCAGCAATAAAGCTGACATC